TTTTTTTTTTTTTTTTTTTTTTTTTTTGTTTCTCTTCTCTCTCCCCTGTACGTTCACGACCGCGGAACACCAACCAACCTGCATCTCTCCATAATTTAACCGGTAACGTAACGCACAGGTTAGATTTCCTCAACCGCACATCTCCACAAACACGTCCAGATTCGGGGTTTTATGAAACTCGTCCGCCCGATCGGATGGGGATGGATATTGAACCCCCAACCTGCGCATCAATGCATCTTCTTCTTCTTCTTCTTCTTCTTCTTCTTCTTCTTCTTCTTTTCTTTTTCTTTTTTTTTTTTTTAAACAAAACCGGGAACCGTGTCCCTTATATTACAAAGCCAGGAAACGGGCCTGGCGTCCCTCACAAAAATTCCACAGTCCAGTTTTAAGGCGAGACATCACCGGTCAAGCCCAAAAACTAGACTGTCACTCACCTTGATGATATGCACAAAGAGGCAGAAAAAGAAAACCAAAAAATTGAAACAAATCACTATTGGACTAGAAGTATGATACAATTGTAATATTAAACCGTCTCCCTCGCCTCAATGTCATGTACAGAAAGCCAGAAAGAAAACCAGAAATTGAAGGAAATCAATGTGTGACCACTAATCTGTAACTGCAGTTGTACTACTGAACCGCCTCTACTGAACAACCTCATCCTGTAATGCTATGTACAAAAAAGGCCAGAAAGAGAAGTAGAGCAGTCAATGTCTCTTACAAATATCATTTCTACAATGATGTTGCGATGCAGAATAGGGAACTCACTAAAAGGGAGGTTCACACATGTGTAACCAAGAGGTCCTAAAGAAAAAAGGAAGAAAATTTAAGTTCCGGAGTATGACCAGATTGAACAGACAACACCACCAAACCCGTGAACTGGGCCCAGTGTGTGTGGAATCTTTTGAGAGCCTTTGCAGAGAACCCTTTGTTAACAACCTCAAGCGACCATTGGTTGACGACGTCTGTTTGATGGAGTACTTGATTTCTGCGCGAACCATAGGGGGGGTGAACTTTTCCCCCCCTCGTACAGCCGAGTTTCTGAGAGTCCACAGAGTCCAAAGCACAGCTCCACATAAACGCTCCTCCGCATATGTTAGAGAAGTGTCACGGTGCATCTTCTGTGCCTCACAGAACTCAGGCACGGCAGAGGCCCATTGACCCCTCTCTCTCCCTTTCCCCTAATCGAGCCCCTTTTTTTTTTTTTTTTTTTTAAAGGTAAGCTATATTCTTCTCTCATCTCTCATCTATTTCAATCTATCTTTTTCTTGGTAGTAAGCATCTATCTCATCCTCTCACTAGTCTATGTATAGTACGGGGGGGAACACCAACCAACCCGGATCTGTCCCCAGCCCCTTTTTCACCCCCTCCCGCCCTCCCGCCCCCACCATGACTCGGCGAAATCTGTGGCCACGATTGGCTGTTAGATCATCATCCATAAGTCCGCTTTTGTCGTATTCGGCAAGATGCTTTGCAGGGTCATCATGTGGAGAGTTGTAGTTTTTAGTGGAAGGTTTTGAGCTCATGACCTGAATCTCCTAACGGCGTTGCATAATTGCTCGCAGTTCAGCTATCAGCCCAGAGGTACTATTATTGAACCTCTCGATAAAAGAAAAGGAAAAAAAAAAAAGAAAAGAAAAAAAGAAAAAGAGGAAAAGAAAAGCGAAAATAAGAATAAACAAAAATTATTGTTCCTTCGGTTCATCGCGATATGCCGCCAGGTCGCACACGAGTTCTCTGTTTCTCTTTTTTTTTATGTCTTCTTGACCGTCGATCTTCCCGATCTGCGGTCTGGAGGGCTTTTGTTTTTTTTTTCGCGTTTTTGGGAAGGGTAGGTATTGGTGTTCGTTGGGCACTTGGCACGTTTTGCTATGCTGCCCATCTTCAGTCACTGCCGGTCAGGTGCCCCCGGGGCCAAGTCCCATAACGACGTTGAGTTTCCTCAACGCCTGAATCTGGACGTGTTCGTGGCTCTGTGCGGTTGAGGAAACTCAAGGCGATTTTCTGCAGATCTCCACGAACACGTTCAATTCTGGTGTTGTTGAGGAAACTCAACTCTGCTGGCAGTGGGACTTGGCCCCCGGGCCCCAAGTCCCACTGGCCCAGGTCCCACTGGCATCGTTGAGTTTCCTCAACGCCCGAATCTGCTCGTGTCTGGGCAGATGTGTAGAAATCGCGTCGAGTTTCCTCAACCGTACATCTCCACAAACACGTCCAGATTCGGGCGTTTATGAAACTTGTCGCCCCCTCGCTACTCGGACGAGGCGCCGGGGATGGCCCCCAACGCACAAGCGCGAAAGGCGGGCGCCGGGGATGGCCCCCAACACAAGCGCGAAAGGCGGGATCTCGGCAGCAACGAGGCATATGATATGAGAGGAAAAGAAAAAAAAAACGAAAAAAGAAAAAGAAAAAAAAACACAAAATAAGAAAAAAGGAAAAGAAAAGAAAACCGCTGGGGCAATTGGCGCAATTTCTGTATGTCGCCCTCTGTCCTCTCTCTCTCTCTCCCTCTGTCTGTGTCTCTCCCACACACACACCCACACACACTCCTCTCCTTGGTCGAGCCAACACGGTGTCTCTATTTAGAACGGCCCCGGTACACGAAGGTGGTGTAAGTGTGCGTTGGCGCGCTCTGACTGCTCCCGCATCTCTTCCTTGACTCGACGGGATCGCGACGGAAGCTGGGAGTATCCCGGCCGTACGGTATCGCCAGAAGCTTCTTGGAGAACGCGGGACACGTCGGAGCAGAGAGAGAGACACGAAGAAGACGAAGACGATCCGCCATCGCCAAGCTCACCGTTGAAGCTCGATAGAGATGGCGGCCGTCGCAGCTGTTGCAACGTCGAAGTTCGACCGCCTCAAGGCTGAGGCGGCTCGGCTTGCGGACCAGATGAGGTATGCGACTTTCCTTTTTTTTATCTTTTTTTTAATCTTTTTTTTATTTTTTTTTATTCGTTCCCGAAGAGAAGGATCGGGGGCTTTTTTTCTTTTCTTTTCTTTTGGGGGTATTGGTTTTTGAAGAATAGGATGGGCCGGTTTCACATGTCCTGACCAATCAATGGCAAGGATGAGGAGGATGGGTATGATAAGGGTAAGGATGACGTTGATGATTGGATATGGCGGCAGCAGTCTTCGTGTGCGAAGGACTTGATGACATTTGAAAAACGTTTAGAGGCACATGGCGATACTTAGGGCATACTCACAGTAGGACAGCTTCTCACTTACTACTGGACGTAATTGCGGCCAGATGCACCCAGGTCCGGTCATGAATGCGGTCAGATGCATGTACGATAACGCTAGTTTGAGTACCTCCTTAGTGACACAGTGAGACATTCCCCACATCTCTCTCCCTCTCTCCCTCTCTCTCTCTCTCTCTCTTCGGTGCTACTTTCGGCTGCACGGTGATTGTTTTAGGTGGTTGACTCTCTCTTCTGTCTCTGTTGAGGGAGTTTCTATTTTTGGTAATTTTTCTATTTTTGGTAATTTTTCGGAGTGTCCGATGTGAGAGATCACGGGGTTGACGCGTGTGGACATCAGCGAGCAGGGTGATGACACACGGTGAAGTCGATGATGTCATCATCGGTGAAGAAGATGAAGAAGGGGATGAGGAATGGCTATGGCGGTCTCTGCACCTGATTGGTTAGTTGTCTTGCAGATTAGTCGTCGTAGGCGGGTGATTGTGATATAGAAGTATATATGTATATACATACACAAATATATATATCGTCAAATAGATATATACGTATAAACTTTTATACCTTGTATATACTAGTATGTATATACATTTATAGCTTGAGGGCAGTGGTTGGTGCCCACCTCAAAAGTATCAGATGTTGGGCAGTCGTTGGTGCTTAACCACAACCGGGTTAAGGTGGATTGTCACTTACAGTGTACTAAGTAATCAGTTAGGGGACTGCAGACTGTAGAGGGTTCAGCCTCGTCCCCCTGATGCGTCAGTCTGCGCAACTCCGACGCAACAGTTTGTCACTGCCTCTCGTTTGTTGTCCTTTTTTTTATTATTATAAAAGCTATATTCTTCTCCCAATTTCACCTCACACTACCCTACCTACCTACCACTACTCCTAATTGTAGGCATACGGGGAGCCCCGTTGTTGTCTTTTTCTCCCTCTCTGCCTACGGCGGCTTACCCGGCAGTTCTGTTTACCGGGCTAACGAGTAATATGTATTCAAGTTTTTTTTTTTTTTTTTTCCGGTTAAATTTTATTCTGAGGGGTTTCCAAACAGCATTATTAAGTTGTTTCTAGCCAGTAAATGTACGTTCTGTTTTGTGTATAGATTCGGTAGATTTGACTACGGGACGTGCATCCTACAGACAGGTTAATAGATCCGGATGCCAAACCGATACTCCGGGAGATTTTTCCATGAATGCGATTGGCTAAATGTATTTTCCGTGACTTCGTGACTAGGTGCATCCTGCAAGTCTTTCTTGTGCTGACTCGCGGAGCAAGATCTGCTGTTTAATGAATAAAATAAAATATTCGTCACCTGTCGGGTATTTTATGTCCTTTAAGATCCCGACGGGTTTTATGTCCTTTAAGGATGACTTGATTTTCGGTGCCTCTTCCAAAAGGGGGGGGGGGAGGCACCGGGGGGRGGTTGGTTGGTTTTTTGGCTTGGCTTTGAGAAAAAAAAGTGCTCACATATGTTATATTTTATTGTATTATGATACTAGTATCTGAATTTATCTCTTTTTGCCTAAAGGAAAGCTGACATTGCAATTTAAATGGATTTTTTTGTTGTTGTTATTGTTTGTACCCAC